CCCCAAAACCCCAAAACCCCAAAACCCCAAAACCCCTTAGCTTAAAGAAAAATTTGAAATTTTTTATCAAAATTATCAAAAGTAAAATATTAAAAATGGAAAGATCGAATAGTTTTGAAGATTTAGAAGTTTGAGATGAAGGAAATATAGCTCCTATCTCCATTCATGTGCCAGAGATGAAGACTGCCATCAAAAGATCTATGGTTAAGTGCATGACATGCGAGAGAAAATATCAGGCCTTCTCGAGATCTCTTATTTGACCAGAATGAAAAACTAGTACAAACAAAGAAGTCACAGAAGAGGAAAAGAAGGTAGAAGACAGACCTTATGAGCTAAATCGGATCGGAGGTTATATACCATTAAGATTCGCTCTAGTTTCTCCAGAATCACGCATCAACAGATTAGAACTGCTTAGCGACTCTAGTAGTGGCTCTAGTGATCTCTCTAGTAGTAGCTCGAGGAGTGATTTTAGTGATGACAGACTAGATTCTGAGGGATTTCGGATGCTTAGATCAAGGATTTTACAAGATCCGAATGCTAGGCAAGGAGGAAGGAGAGGTGATGTCTCTAGTTCTATTGAAAGGGTCTCTGTTGTGAGTTTTAGAAGGAGTACTTTTATGATGAGAAATAATGATCCGATGAGGTTCTTTACACCTGACTTGAGGGGTTGGAATTTTCAAAAACCTGTGAATAAAGATACCATAGATAACTTAAAATCTGTACAAATAACCGATGAACATTTAACACTAAATCCTAAAACTAGACAAAAAGAATCTCCTTGCTGCTGTGTCTGCACGGATGAAATGCAAATAGAAGCAACTATCCTCCCTTGCAAGCACTTATTCCACACTGAATGAATCAAAGAATGGTTCAAAAGACACAACACATGTCCGATCTGCCGATCCAAGCTCACCTAACCCTCTAATCTCCCATCTAACCCCCTTTATTCTAAATTTCAACCATTTCCTTCCAACCTGGGGTTTTGGGGTTTTGGGGTTTTGGGG